AAAAAGAAAATATCCAAACATCTGCATAAAAATTCAAACCATTTTACTCTCGCATTCCAATTACACGCATGCGCCGTCACCCGATGTTCCCTCACCACACAAATGTACGAGAACCCTTGTAATCGCGTTAGGTCCCTTACAATTGGAACCTTAATAAATTTATGGCTACAGCTCCGAGCCTACCTGAGGTTGCTTACATCTGCACTATACCAGGAGCCAGCCTATTCGTAGGGTCGGGATAATCTCCAAATCTTAATGGGTACCCAATTCGCGAATTTTAGCTTGCGAATAAGATCCAATGGTGATGATTCTATTTCCTGACGTATTCTCGTCAGCCACGAAGAGTGTTGTCCGAGTCAAACATAAATGGTTGACCAACCAGAATCGGTACCAAGTTTCAGTTTTCTCGACTCGTCGAAGGATGTGAGGACTGGAACCCCAGCGCTTAGGGCGTAGTGGGTCTGAGAACAGGCAACAACACAAGGCGGACACGTAGGAACACTCCCAGTGCCTCTATGAAACTTTCGGGCATACTGCATAGATCTTTTACTGATGTATGAGCGCTCCATGTTAGATAGGGCGGGCATTCAAACAGGTGATTCTTCAACAGGGTGGTTCGAAAGGGGCGGTGGCTACGTTTGAATTCAGCACGCTCTAGGAGAAGCTCATATCGGGGATACCTACTCTGTGACGAAGGCAGCACATCCCGCCACACGGCAGTCCAACCAGCCGTAGTTGGGAGTGTGGGGCATTGGCAGTACTGCTGAGTCTCTTTCTTGAGTCTTCGTATCTCTCTTTAGTCCTTAGTAGACTTTCGATGCCCCTGCATTGGGTTTCGCGCCCTCTAGGCGAGAATTATACTCCCTCTGGGTGAGTGCAATACTCTCCTCGGCGTTCTCTGGGTGAGAGCTACACTCTTCCTGGCGATACTCCCTATAATTGGGACTACCTTAGTAGGTCCGTCAGACTCTCGGTAGTGTGTACATGGGTGAGTTGGCATTCCGCTGTCGTGCTCTTGGTGAGATCGTCCTCGAGGTTGTTTCACGTGTTTTGGACTTCTGTGAGTAGGCTCTCGATATATCGACCTGTTGGTGTACGCGTTGTCTTATTTGGCAGTCTAGATTTCGGTTTAGTGAAACGGCGTATCCGTGGATCCTGACCCTCTCTCCACGACCTAGCATTCTGAGCCACCGGTCTTCAGATCGGTTGGATTATTAGGATGCGAGTATAGGAACGGGCGAAGGTAGTAAGTATCTTCGATCTCCAAGACGAAATCAAGAAACGTGTTACATCATCAATATAACGATTTTTTTTCAGTAGAGTTAGTCAGCCTCGATGAACTAATTCTTAGCTGCTAAGGCATTCCCAGCCCTGTTGTCATAGCCAGCCTTTGAAATTCTTATCAGAGTTATATGCGTTTTCTCAATAGTAATTCATCGACGAATTATTTGTTTCATATTGTTGGCTAAAGTTTTCGCTCTAGCTCAGAGTTTTGGACAATTGCTCTATTTTATTTTTTGAATCGTTGCAAATACGGACACAAAATGATTGTTGAGCACGATTCCTCATCATGAAAGCATTAAAAAAAAAATTTTCCTAAAAATGCTGCCTATTTACTATGAAACATTGCCATTTATGTTTCAAATTAATGGAAAGTTTAAAATGTCCACTTCATGGCACGGTCGCCCGGTATACGCCGAACCAGATGGCTTCTCAAGTGGATGAGGCCCCTCTCCCAGTCCACACTGATATATACCACTATACTATACTATACTATACCGCTCATTTTGTATCAGTCAAAGGCAGTTAGCATCGAGGCGAAACGTTAATTGAGGTTTCGGTGTTTGAATAGTCTGTGCAAGATTGTCTGAAGCATTCGTCTCTTTGTTTGTCCCTTGTCTTTAACTGTAACAACTTGTATAGTCCATGAAGCCGGGGACACCGCCAAGTCCACGTTGTGGGGGACTGGATAACGCAAAGAGGTGTGCGGGTAAATTCGGAAACGGTTCCCCAAAGAGAGAACAATTCCAATAAAATCAACAAGCATTCCGGTCTGTGAACATTCTGAAGAGGAGTTGGGACTGAGAAACCGTGTGAATCCACTACACCTTAACCCATTTTTTACTTCCGGAATTTTTTGCTTCCCATGTTTTGTACGAAAGCTTTGTAATCGTCCGGATCGTTCGGATTTTCTAATTTTGGTTGCAAATGATGGAGAATGGTCCGAAACATAAAAATACCAAATTTTGACACCATGTGTATATGTGCGCATGGTGAATTTCGCCCACTTTTTTAGAAAATTCAACGAATAAGCGATTACAGTTATTCCGAGAAAAGTGAAATTTAGTCACATTAAAGGTATCGCCAAGGACTAAATGTGTGCTAAAATTTAGCTCCATCGATCCAGTTATTTCTCATATAAATTGTGATTTCGTTCTGAAACGTCTTTCGCAAATATCTTGAAGACTATCTGACCGATTACATATTTTCAACTTTAAAAATATTCGTCTCCATGTACTCTATGTCAATTAACGAAAATCTGTATAACCATCCATGATAGATTTTCACGAAACTCCAACATTTCCGCTTTTGTTAAAAAAAAATTTTGCTAGCACAGCAACATTGCGAAAAATCGATTCAACTTGGAATTTCCACTTGGTAACGAGATATTCGGTATTGAAGAACGGCTGAATCAGGTGATTAATTCATGAAATATTCAAATTTGCTTAATATTGACTTTCTAAAATATCTCGAAAATTACCCAACCGAATTCAATTTTTCACATCTTGAAATATTCTGCTTGATGGACTCTATCTCAATCAATCAAAATTTGTAGACCCCTCCAATCCAAGTATTCGAAATATTTCAACAAATTTTCCAATTTGACACATCGTTAATGCAAAAGTTAAGTGAAAAGATTAATTTTTCAAGAAATGAGAGTACATACGAAGCTTTAAGCATTTTCTCTAGTGGTTCGAACGCATACTATTAATTCATTGATGGCGATGAAAGGTTGGAAAAATCACTCAAGGTCATGCTCACTGTCACGTCTTCGCTGTCATCTGCTCACAACCTCTGCTTGTTAATACTTGAATTCCTCGGTTAGATTATTGGACAATAATTGACTGATCCAAGTGATGGAATAAAAAAAATATTACCATATTTTATTCACCTGGAATCATCCTGGTTTATCATACTAAACAACTAATCGGGTTGAGACCAGCTAATTTAGATCAGGATTTGATAAGACTGGTTGATCTAAATTGAATTTCACAGCCTAATTCTATTTGAATGGAACAAAGCATTGCATCCCCAGTCAGTCTCTGATCTTGTGGACTAATCTGTAAATGATTGTAAGCCCGGTTTCGAGGACGAGCGCATCATAAGTGCTTAGCAAAATGTCGATTGAAGTAATAATGACCTACGCGGAGAAAAAAAAACATCGATTAAATGTGTCTTGCTTGAAGTTTGTACCGAACTTGTTTTCATTAGCCGAGATCGACAACTAATATTACTTTCTCAAATATTTGTATTCATATTTTGCAATGATTTGTCCTTGAGCTAATCGCCATTGAGTGATGTAGAGTCAGATACTAAAGGCCGTGAATAATCCGAATTTGCATCTCATGTATTTTGGTCACGAATTTTAGAATCTAAGTGTAGATTACCGTGATACTGAGTATTATCAATTTGTCAATTGAAATTTGACAAATTGAGCAATAGAAATGCCATATGCTAATATTACTGATTTGTGAAATAATTTCATTTGTGTTGAAGTCATTATTGGCTGGTAATTTGTCGTTAATTTTGGTGAGAATTGTTATTTGTATTGGTTCAATTACATTGTTCTATTTACTGTTTATTGATGTTCATATTAATATCATAATATTTACTTAAATTATTATTTTTTCTTTACCTATGTGCACTAGCAATCAACCTGACTATTGATTTAATCGTTTGACGAAATCGCCCGAATAAAAACATAAATGAACGCTCGAACATGCTCGGATAAAAACGGAAATGAATTTGCGTGCTTAAATCAGGTAGATGCAAGGTCAAATCACACTCGAATAACAAATGAATATAAAAACTATATTCAAGTGTGTCCAGATTTCCATCACGACGAAACGCTATGAGGTCGGATAATTTCGCACTTGAATCAAGGGAAAAAAGATTGAATGACGGTCAAGTGGGTAAGTACTACACAGTGAAACAATTCTCTCGTGGTATTAAAGAATTCTAACAAAAGATAAATTGTCGATAAGCGCATGCTTGATATTTCACAGCTTTCAGCAACCGCACCATCGCTAGAAGGATGAAACTTGGGGTATATCGAGCCGCTGCGAACGTTCTTAGAATCTCCCACTTAGGTCAAGGCTAAGTCTCTGACTCCCATTGTTCCCCATTTCGAACATATAGAAAGTAATTCCAAGAGTTTTCCCATCGTCTTTCACGAATTATAAGACATTAACAGATAATTATCGGAATTTCTATTTTAAGTCTCTTTGCGATAAGTTTCCATAAGCATAATTTTTCTTCCACATCTAGACAACTGTCCAATATTATCCGCACATTTTTCAACCCCTACTGACCTCCAAATAAATTCTTAAATAACGAGAGAATGGAAACTTTTCGAAAATTAATTCATGAATTTCATAAATTTTAGAAAGAAAGAAAAAGAGAAAGTTTCAAAATAAAAATCTAAATGAACCTAATGGCCTACCTCAATTCACTAGTTTCCAACCCCTCAACTCCATTCCAACTATACCTGTATATCCAAACACCTGTTAGCTGGCGCTCTTGTATATACCCCTAGCACATCGGCTTTAAAATACCACGGTGTTTGCAAAGTATTTCGGCGGTTGAATATCCAAAGATAAATGGATTTTACTTAAAATCTCAAACCAACGGTTCGATACCCTCCAACACAGCCCGGGCAGAGCTCTACGCACAGATGAGAGCGAAAATTTTTTTTTTTAACGAAATCATTAAAAACTCACCGGCATGACCCTGCAGCGAATAATTAGCCTCCTCGCTCGGCAGTGCAGTCTCCTCGAAAAAACTCTCAGAGGCTGTCTTCACCACTCCCATGACGCGGCAAACCCGCCAGTTATAAAAGTGAATCTCCCGAATCAATGGGATCCAGTAAATTTCGAATTGTCCGAGTAACGAATTTTCAATCACCCAATGAAACAACTGATGGCACTGAGTGCTGAAAGGCTGTGTTAATCACTGGTACCCTGATAATCCTCAAGTGAGCCTTGTTGACTTGATGATGCCGACGCGTCGTCTGGCGAAGCTCATAACAGGACGAGGGAATATTGGTTGGAATAAGCTTTCACAGGATGATATGCGTCTGCGTCGGCGCGTGCGTCAATCTTTTGCCCCTCTGGTACCCAGCAACTGTAACACTACTAGAGCGGCTATGATTCTGAGGCGGTGGTGACGCGCACGGGGATGCATGCTGGACCGTGTATTTCCTCGTTGGATGAAACGGGGCGAAGGGGAGTACCAGCCGACGGTCGGAATACTCTTCGAGTTATATATATATATATATATATTGTTGGTACAGGGGCAATGTCGACGCCAACTGGGTCTCGGTGAAGGTCTCCGGCTCACGGATACTGCCGCGTGGCTATCCCCCTTTTTACCCGCAGCCTTCTCCCAGACCACCCTGTCCTATCGTTACTCCCTTTGTCGCCCTGCACTCCGGCGTTTTGCACCTTTTATTTCTTATAATTTTATTCTCAACTCGCGTATCATCAGGATTCATTTCATTTTGGGTTGGTGCCTTCAAATTCTGACGTTAGGCTTTGTGGGGACGTACCAGAGATTTGTATAAACGCTTAATTCGATTTTGGTCGACACTAAAAATGAGGGTGAGAGAAACTTAAGCAGAATTAAATTAATAATCATTTTGAAAACATTTGCTAAACCACGGGTGTTGAAAGGGCTCGGGCTCAACAGTTATTATCCAGGAATTTTAGTTCACCGTTGAAAGATTATATTTGAAATTTTTGATAACGACGAGGCCACGTGATATTCCTGTTTTTGCTTGATCAGAAACTGATCGAGTTTTGATCAAGTTAATCGGGTTTAAAGAACATAATTAAGTTCTTTAAGCCCCGCTTTAATGTAGATTCAGAACAGGTTCTCATTTGAGCAGCTTCACATTAGTCTAATAAAGTGATTGCTGATGAGGATGTGATCAAGTGTGAATTCAGTGGACCCAATCCGGAAAGCTGCCCGCAGTGTAGGATCCAATTTCGGTTAGCCAGGGTTGATCACGTGATGTCTGATGAGAATCTTACCAGGTGCTTATCCAGCAAATTGAACCCTAAGAATTATGGACAAGCTCCAATCAAATTGTGCTCAAGTCCACACACAAAAAACACTAAGAATACCGCACACAATCTTATATAGATTTTATGGATATTCTATGCACAAGAATTCCAACTTTTCGCATAGAGTAATTGTACCGAAATGTGTGCATAAAGTTTGCATAGGATCCTCTATAGTATTCTTTGTTTTTTGTAATGTGCACCCGATGTGTATTAGAACAAACCTGTTTCAGAAATTTCATTATTAATACTAATTTCCAATTTATTCATAAAAGAGTTATAATTAACTTTATGATCGAGACATGGTGCCATTATAAATATGTGTAAAAATACCAAAATTACAAGTAAATGATTCTAAGTAGTAAGATATTAGAGATAACTCAACGAGTACCACGATAGAGATTTTATCGGAAAAGTAGCGTTAATTTGCCAATGATTTCGGCATAGTCAAAGACATAGACATATATATAAAAAAAGAAAAATGAAAGAGTATTAGACTATAGGCACTGCAATCACAGACTGGAGCTTCAGCATTGGGAAAATAATACATCTTTTTTAGTGTTAATTAGGGTAGAAGCTCATCAAAATCGACGAAATGTGGTGGAAAAATAACTTTTTTTTGTTGTCAACTGATTCCAAGTACTTACTAGTTCCTCTCGTCTTGTTTAAATAAGGGTAACTTGATTAAATTTGAAAAATTATAAAAACTTAATATTAAAAAATTTGATTAATATCGGGGCTATATGGCTAATCAAGCCTCGACCTGATTGTCTTCGCACTTTTTGACTAAACATCTGGTCCAAGCTGATCCAGTTTTTATCAGAACCACAACGAGATTTGTAATCGAACTGGTGTCAAAATGTATTGTGCTATTACACTTATGACAAATGATAATTGAAATTCATATCATGTCGCTCTGGCTATTGTTCAAAGACAAATTAATTAGTTTTAGAATTGTGTCCATGGAGAGAAATTTGTATGAAAAATTCCTACCAGAATCACTTGAAAAATTGTGGTGCAGCAAAATTTACTGGAAGTGTAGTAAAATTTACTGGAAGTGCCGTAAAAGATGAATAACTAGTATGAATATTTCAGATTTAGCCGTACATTTTAGAACATCGAATGAACTTTGGAGAAAATTGAGGGTCAGTCCAGTAAGTTTTGTTGCCCTGCGCAGTAAATATTCCGGAGAACTGCAGTGATTTTTCATGAATTCCACATGACTTTTCATCAGGCCAGTGTCATATCCCGCGGTTACTAATATGAGACCAGTAATTTTTCGTGCATATTTCTCTCCGTGTGGGAATCATACATATTAGATTTTTTGGTAGATATGTAGATTAGAGGCCTCACCTCACATTTTATCGAAATTGACAGGAATTAAAAATTTCATTGAGAATGTATGATATGTAGATTTTCAGATGTCACCCATGATTGGGTGCGTCAGTTTTTATCAGCTTTGTGGGAATTTTCATTACTTACCTCATTCCCTCGTTATATGCGTTCATCTGTGTTTTGTTTACTTCATGTGGTTGCTCATGGTATACTGAAGTCAGCATAAGTTTTAACATTGATTTTAGGAGTGGGGGACATGGTTACAAGTGGTAACTACGTGGAGTGGGGGCACCCAGAGAAGTAAAAACTTATGGTGACTTTAGTATAACACATCATTTTTCAACATTTTCTCAAAAATCTGGTGGAAAACCGGGAATCAGGATGCAGCCGAATATTTCAATCGATTTTCTGACACCTGCGTTTTATTTTCATGCATGACCTTCCCATGTGCGTTTATTTTTATTGTGATGGTGATCATAAATGGGTGAAATCCTCAATCTACACATTTACCCTATTTTTGTGGTTGTAACAGAAATTTCTGCCTTCTACATTCAAATTTTCGACATCGCCATGCCCTTATTTGAACACACGCATAGCTAGGTGAGTAGCTATGCGTGTTCGATTATTTTACTTTTGAAATTTCATTATAACAATTGAATATAGGCTGAAATTGGACGTACCCCTGACGTTGTTTCAACCTACGTTATAGGGGACGTTACCTTTCCCTCTTTTCTTTTCCGCTCTCATCGTCATTCCCTTTCCCCCTTTCTCACGATTATAATGAATTTTTAAAAAGCCGGTGGTGATTCCAAAACATTTAGTCATCAGGTACAACCTATAACTGTTACAGAAGGCTAAAGGATAAGATAAAACAAATCGATGAAATATTCCTATATATAAGGAAATGTACATGTAATTGCAGAGATCGAGTAACTCACATGTTGCTATTAGCAAGATACAGGGTTGACGGTTGGAATAAGCTGCAGACATGCTCTGCAGAGGAGTCAAGGCAGGCATCTGTTGAGCGTACTCATAATTATCAGTTACGTTTGTAGTGTGACTACAAACCAATTTCTTTCCAATTCTCCTGTAGAGCGAACGGCTTGCCATGACCATGCTCGACAAAGGCATGAATGAACAAACAATACATGATTGATTTCAATAACAAATCCCGATAACTCAAGTCTATGCACAATTTTATAGATTTTGGGTAAGTTCATTCCAACCGATCACGACGGAATAAAACAATTGACGATCGTTCGCGAATATAGACTGCCCCCCGCTCCCCCTTTCGCGAAGAATTATTATATATTTATATATTTTTATTTAGGGTTGAATAAATGGTTTTAATTAGGGAAGAGTGAGATAGAGTAAACATTTTTTTTTTATTGCTGATTGGATAACGGTTAGCGTGAACTGTATTGTATGACATTTTGTATACAAAATTATGGATTGAGTGAAATATTAAGAGAACAAAAATGAGAAGAACAAAAAAAAAGACAACAAAAACCTTAAAAAATAAGTAGAACATTGTTATCATCTATTGCTGAGGAAGATTTCTTCCTGGTGCTTCTGGGACAGATGTTGCCTCGTGGTGACCCACCTCTGGCCTTACGTGTTGTTAGACTCAGTGTTTTCGGTGCAATAATTTTTTTAGCTTGACCCGGAATTAGGATCGTCCTAAGATCAGCAGGGGTTAGTGTAAGCCACGAACGTCTCGTAAATCCGAAAATGATCATATGAAATATTTCAGAATTGACTGGATCAAAGTGGGTTTTTTCGTCTGAAAATTTTAGTCTCGATGTTCTGCGTCATAATGAATAGAAATATATGTACTAGCAAATTAAAAATTGTTGATATGTTTCGATTTCGGATTTCTAATTTTTCAATTTAAATGATTATTCGTCCTCCCACCTGTGTAAAAATTGAGACATAAAATCGAAGTTTAGGAAAAAAAATTGTGTCAAAACCATTCAGAAGCTCGCCCTCAAATTTGATTAGCTGTTCGTGGCAAAAATGAAAAGTTTTTGCCAAAAGAAATTGCAGTTGCTGAAATTGAGGGGTTATTTTTCTCGCATTAGGTTTGAAATGTGCCTTACCTGTACTTAGACCTTTTTACCTGCTGGCGTGTGACAAACAATAGGCTGACAAGTAATCATCATGTTGTCGAGTGGCATGATGGAGATAACCGCCCCTTACATCATTTCAGGAAGGTGTCCAGAAATGTCCGACATATTTTTACCATTGGTGCTGACGAGACTGCATATATCTAGATTTTGTGTACCTGAGAGATTATCAATTTAGATGCGAAAAGTGAATTTAAAAACAATGCGTGCCTTTCAAATAAAATAACACGTGTGTGTAACCTTCATATAATGAAAAACCAGATGGCTGATCGCAATCATAACTGTGCTTTACACAGTCGTGAGTATGCGTCACAGTTTAACTCATAAAAAGGGGAGGGCAATCAAGCAAGTCAGTATTCCAAATCCGAAACGGGCGACGACTAGTTCAATGGGGCTCAAACTGTCGACACTAAGACTCATGTATGTAAGGTATTTCCAATTTTTTTTAAATTGCTTTAGATA